ATTCTATGATTCTATGATTCTATGATTCTATCTGGCAGTGTTGGTGCTATATCAGTCAACTCTTTGCTAAAAAGGGCTTTGTCCTTGCCATGCAGGAATAAAGACAAGATGCAAGGGATCAGGTGAGATAGACTTCTGTCTGGAAGGAAGGGGGTGTAAATACCCTCCCTCTCCTGGGTGTACATAGTGGGTCAGAGTCCCACCTGAACCAGCCTCTTCTGGTCCACATGTTTTCTTCCTGCTAGCCTGGTAAATTCAATTTGTGATGAGCGCATTTTCTTCAGTGATAGTCTTTTCCAAGTATATGCCAAGCTGCACCAAATGTGCTCAGATGTGTTTACAGGACTAAAAAGATTTAGGTACAATGCACTACTAATTTCTAGGAAGCAGCCACATCATTTTCAGAAGTGGGACAAAAGAAATAAAGATTTCTATTCCAGTCTATGAGCACAAAAACTGATGTCAATAAGATGTGGTGAAAAGATTTTCACTCTGTTTTTAATGCTTGATTTTATGTTAGACATTATGGGTGCATAATCTGACATGACATAACCATTCAAGCATTTAAAAATGCTTCAATTATAATGTTAGGTATACAGTATCAGAAGTGCATGCAGCTTCTTAAACTAGGAACATAATAAGAGAGAAAACATGGTCAAGTAGCCTTTTTTCATTCCTGGTTGTAATTGCAAAAACTAACAAGTTCCAAGAAATCCCTCTTCTACAACAGTGTGATACAAAATAGTACATTTCTTCCAGGGGGCAGAAGAAATTGCTTGAATACGCAGCACTGCTTATTATCACCAGCATATGATTCCTCCCTCAGATTGCACATCATCACTGCAGTTCGTTTTCTCTGCAACTCTATTAAACCAAGAAGTTCTCTAAAAGGATCTAATTTTTTGCAACATAGGGATGCCATTATATACTGTGCAGTTTAAACAGTTTTCTCATATGACTTCATTATTTTGCTTTGTGTGATGAAATTTTGTATTGGTCTGAGATTGCATTTAAATATGGATTACCGATGGGTGACTTTGCTTGCTAATTTGATCCATGCCCCCAATCATTTAACAAATCACTCATCAATAGTTAGTATCTAAATGCAAAGTGGTTTCACTAATTCATATAAAGTATTTGTATGAATTCATTCGAATTAGCCAACCCGTTTTGGTTTGTAAAACTGCTTTAGAAATCACAACATAGGCATTACTTTTAGGCATTACCACAATATAAATATTAATAATAAAAATAATGGAATAGTAATCAATAAAAGTAATATATAATTAAAAGTGCTATATGTGAACTAGAAGTTTATTATTATTTGTCACGCCAGACAACCATTTGCTTTTTTTGACAGGATTTACAAAATTAATTGATGTAGGGAATGTAACAAGTATAAGACATTTTTATTTTAGTGAAATATTTGACAAGTCTCATGAAATCTTAGTTGAAAAATTAATTAAAATGGGTTTGTATATGACCAGTGTCACAAAGTTTGAAAACTGGCTGAAGAGCAGTAAACAAAGGAAAATACCAAATAGAAATGTATGAAATCTGAAAAGGTGGTATTAAGAGGGGTGCTACGGGAACTGATGTTAGGTCAAATCTTCTTTAACTTCCTCATTAATGACAGGTTTCAGAGTAGCAGCCGTGTTAGTCTGTATCCGTAAAAAAAAAAAAAACAGGAGTAGTTGTGGCACCTTAGAGTTAGTCTCTAAGGTGCCACAAGTACTCCTGTTCTTTCCTCATTAATGATCTGCAAGAGAGTGTGAAAGCATGTTAATTAAATTTTATGAACCCCAGTCACGACAAAGTATCAGGGGGTAGCCGTGTTAGTCTGTATCTACAAAAACAACAAGGAGTCTGGTGGCACCTTAAAGACTAACAGATTTATTTGGGCATAAGCTTTTGTGGGTAAAAACCTCACTTCTTCAGATGCACCCGAAGAAGGGAGGGTTTTTCCCACCAA